AGATAGAAAGCGAGAAATCACCCCCCCGGGGGAATGGTCATACTGCAATCCCTTCTCCATTCTCCTCTCAGGATCTTGGGCACACACGCACAAGTGCCCGGTGTGAGTTTTAAGCCACCAGGTCCAGGACATGAACTGTGGTCGACTACATGCGAGTCCAGCGACATAGCCATTACGTTAATTGCTGGTCCCAAGAACCATACTTTCTAAGCAGGACTGTCACCCAGGTTGTGGTACCATACATAATATAGTTGTGACTATGCTACAATTTGCCCATCCACATTTCTTGTTCTTTTCTTTGAGAGAGATTTTTGTTATAGGGCACATGTTCTTGCCAGAGAGTTAGAAAGCAAGAAATCACTCCCCTCACCCCCGACCCCTGCAGGGGGGATGGCCACACCACAATCCCTCTCCTCCATTCTCCTTTCAGGATTTTGGGTATGCACACACACACCCAGTGTGAGTTTCAAGCCACTGGGTCTGGGATTCAAACTGCAGTCGGCCATGTGGGAGTTCAGTGATGTAACCATTATGCCATCTGCTGGTCCCAACCCCTACCTACATTTTTTTTTAAATTTATTTTATTTTATTTTTTTTTGGAGAGATTTTCGCTATAGGGCGAGTGGCTTGCCAGAAAGACAGAGAGACAGAAAGTGAGAAATCAACCCCCAGGGGGGATGGCCACGCTGCAATCCCTTCTCCTCCATTCTCCTTTCGGGATCTTGGGCACGCATGCACATGCGCCAGGCGTGAATTTAAGCCACCGGGTCCAGGATTTGAACTGCGGTCGACTACATGGGAGTCCAGCGACATAGCCATTATGATAACTGCTGGTCCCTCTACCTACATTTTTAATCACAGAATTACAGAAAAGGAAATAGTCTATTAGATTTTTATCTCAATCTATAAATACGTAAAAGAACCTTCAGGGCCAACTGGTAGAGTGGTGGTTAAGGAAGCCAATCCCACATGGCAGACTGAGATTCAAGTCCTGGACTGGGCTGCTTGAAAAACATACCAGGTGCGTGTGCATGTGTACCCAAAATCTTGAGAGGAGAACAGAGGACATGGGATTGTAGCATGGCAGGGGGTGATTTTTCACTTTCCCTGTGTCTCTCTCCAGAAAGCACATGCGCCCCATGGCAAAAACCCTTTAAAAAAAAATTCCTAGAAAATGAAGGAGAGCGGATTGCAGCATGGCCATCCCCATTGAGGGGTGATTTCCCACTTTTCCTCTTTCTCTCTCTAAGTCTCTCTTTGGCACGTGTATACACCCTACAGCAAACTAAATAATAATAATAATAATAATAATAAATCAGTCATATAGTGACAAAAATTACTTCTTCAGAGAGATACCATGGTATATTGTAGGAAATGTGGAGTTTGTAGAAAGACAAACCAAGGGTTAAATTAAGGCTCTAATTTTATCAGCGATAATCCTATCAGTTCTCAATTCTCTAATCTATAAAGTGGAGATAAAAATAACATAAAAATGTACCAAAATGCTTAAAACTGAAAAGCCCCATAGGAATATCAGATATTATTAGGCCATCATCTTTCTTCTTATGGTTATATTTATAGTGTTATTTATATTAGAGCAATTTATGTTTAGTTCTCTGGACTTTATTTAAACTCAGACACAGTAACTCCATGATTCTGAATCAATATATCCACAATGCATACATACATACATACAAAAACAAACAAACAGAAACACACTTCAATACTGAGTGTCTAAGAAAAAAAATCTGTCTCAGGGCCCACAGGTGGCAAGGTGGTTGAGGGCGCTGGACTCCCACATGACTGACTGAGTTTTGAGTCCTGGACCTAGTGGCTTTCTTTCTTTCTCTCTCTCTCTTTCTCACTCTGTCCCTCTCTGGTCAAATTAAAATAAATGAATTAATTAATTAAAGTAAAGTTCAAGAAAATAATTTTTAAAAAAGAAAAAAGAGATCTCTCTCAAAACCAGAAAGGAAATCAGTCTATGCTTTAATTACATGAAATCACAAAAAATGTTTTGCCCATTTTAGGTATAGAACATATTTTTAAAAAATAATTATTTATTTCATTTTAATTTATAATAATTATTTTTAAATTTAATATAGTGCATGTATGTTTACAAGAGAGAGAAAAAGAGAGAGAGAAAGAAAGCCACCAGGTCCAGGAATTGAACCATGGTCACCCATGTGGGAGTCTAGTACCTTAACCATCACACCACCTGCTGGCCCTGTAGAACATATCTTAATAGAAATAGTTGCTGAAAAGAATCCCGGTCAACTAAGAAAGACTGTCACCAAATCGAAGAATGGTAGTGTTGGGTGACCAGCAGATGGTGTAATGGTTACGTTGCTGGACTCTCACACAGTCAATCACAGTTTAAGTCCTGGGCCCAGTGGCTTAAAATTCACACTGAGAGTCGGGAGCGAACGAGCAGGAGGTTGTTCGATAGCAGGAGAGGAGCAATGCCTAAATCAAAGGAACTTGTTTCATCAAGATCTTCTGGCAGTGATTCTGACAGTGAAGTTGACAAGAAGTTAAAGAGGAAAAAGCAAGTTGCTCCAGAAAAACCTGTAAAGAAGCAAAAGACTGGTGAAACTTCTAGAGCTCTATCATCTTCCAAACAGAGCAGCAGCAGCAGAGATGATAACATGTTTCAAATTGGGAAAATGAGATATGTCAGTGTTCGGGATTTTAAAGGGAAAGTTCTAATTGATATCAGGGAATATTGGATGGATCCAGAAGGTGAAATGAAACCAGGAAGAAAAGGTATTTCTTTAAATCCGGAGCAATGGAGCCAGCTGAAGGAACAGATTTCTGACATTGATGATGCAGTAAGAAAACTGTAACATCTGAGCCATATAAAAACCTGTACTGTTCTAGTTGTTTTAATCTGTCTTTTTACATTGGCTTTTATTTTCTAAAACACTGAGTGTGTCTGCGTGTGTGCCCAAAGTCCTGAGAGGAGAATGGAGGAGAGAGGACTGCAGTATGGTCATACCCCCTGGGGAATGATTTCTGCTTCTCTGTCTCTCCAGCCAGCTCATGTGCCCTACAGCAAAAATCTCTCTTAAAAAAAAAAAAAAAAAAAGAATTACAGTGTTGGCAAAGAATTTTCAAGTCCGTGTGGAGTGAGACCAGCAGTTAGCGTAATGGCTGTCACTGGACTCCCATGTAGTCAACCACAGTATGAGTCCCAGACCCGGTGTCTTAAACTCACGCCGGGCACGTGTGCGTGTGTGCTCAAGATCCCAAGAAGAGAAGGGAGGAGAAGGGATTGCGGCATGGCTATCCCCCCTGGGGGGTGATTTCTCGCTTTCTGTCTCTCTGTCTCTCTCTGTCTGTCTGGTGAGCGCATGTGCCCTATAGCAAAAACTTCTCCAAAAAAAAGAAAAAAAGAAAAAGAAAAAAAAATTCCTTGTGGAGTTTAATACAAATACATTTGATGCATCCACAATTTCCCCCACAACACTCTAGATGGATAGGTATCCATCTGCTGCTTAAAATACTTTCTCTAAAGTGTCTTTTCTCTGGTAACTTTGTTAGAAACTGGGCTAAACTCTATCCCTGTAATTTCTACCTGAGTCTTGTACTTCTTCAGAGAGCCACACAGCACACATTTAATTCTTCCTCTTTAGAACAGGCTTTTTTACAATTTAAAAGAGAATACTCATGTCCCTTGCCCGGTTCTTTTCATTCAGCTCCCCAATTATTTAACGTATGGCATGTTACAAGTGCCTGTCCTTTGGACCAGTTCCACTTTGCCCTGCCCCTTCACTATAGACTAAATGAGCTCTCATGTATGCTTCTACAGTGAATCTATCACCTTATTTTCCATCAAGTGTGGTTCTTTAGTCCAATTGACTGAGATCTTTATGGATAACAAACTATAAGAATACATATTTTTTTTTTCTTCCTAGTTTCAAATTATCAGGTCAAAAGTAAAAAGAATGCTACTCTTAAAATCTTTTTCTTTTTTTTGGAGAGGTTTCTGCTATAGAGTGCTTGCGCTCACCAGAAAGACAGAGACAGAAAGCGAGAAATCGACCTCCAGGGAGGATGGCCATGCCACAATCCCTTCATCTCCATTCTCCTCTCAGGATCCTAGGCATGCATGCACACACTCCCGGAGTGAGTTTAAGCCATCGAACCACGGTCGACTACATGGTAGTCCAGTGACATAGCCATTACAACGACTGCTGGTCCCGTGCTCTTGAAATTTTGATCATTTGAGTAAACATTGAAGTGTTCGTTAAAACAGTAAGATTGATGAACAGGATGATCTTTAAAATTCATTCCAATAATACTAAAGCTTAGGACTAGGTACAGGTCTATACATTTGGAAGTCAAGTTCACCCTAACATGGTTATGTATGGACAAAGAATGCTGACAGGTGAGGCTCACGAAGTAAATGTGAGGTCAAGCCTATTAAGACCCTAGTTCTGGGCCCAGCAGGTGGCATGGTGGTTAAGGGCGCTGGATTCCTACATGGCCGACCATGGTTTGAATCCTGGACCTGGAGGTTTGCTTTCTTATTTTCTCTCTCTGTCTGTCTGTCCCTCTCTGGTCAAATTAAAAACAAATAAATAGCTTTCTGTCTCTGCTGCTGCCATGGCACCCATGAAAAAGCTTGTGGTGAAGGGGGACAAAAAAAAGAATCAGGTTCTGAAGTTTACCCTTGACCGCACCCACCCTGTAGAAGATGGAATCATGGATGCTGCCAATTTTGAGCAGTTTCTCCAAGAGAAAATCAAAGTGAATGGAAAAGCTAGGAATCTTGGTGGAGGTGTTGTAACCACTGAAAGGAGCAAGATCACCATAACTTCCAAGATGCCTTTTTCCAAAAGGTATTTGAAATATCTCACCAAAAAATATTTGAAGAAGAATAATCTACGTGATTGGTTGAGCATAGTTGCTAACAGCAAAGAGAGTTATGAATTACATTACTTCCAGATTAACCAGGATGAAGAAGAGGAGGAAAATGAGGATTAAAACTCATTTACCTGGAATATTTTGTATGAGTTCTTGAATAAAACTTGGGAACTAAAATAAATAAATAAATAAGCAAAGTTAATAAAATAATTCTTTTTTTTTTTTTGGAGAGGTATTTGCTATAGGGTGCGTGTGCTTGCCAGAAAGACAGAGAGAAACAGAGAAACAGAAAGTGAGAAATCGCCCCTCCAGGGGAGATAGCCACACCGCAATCCCTTCTCCTCCATTCTCCTCTTGCGATCTTGGGCACACACACACACACGCCTGGAGTGAGTTTAAGCCACCGGGTCCGGGACTTGAACTGTGGTCGACTACATGGGGGTCCAGCAACATAGTCATTATGCCAACTGCTGGTCCCAATAAAATAATTCTTAAAAAGAAAAAAAGACCCTAGTTCTACCAAGCCTCAGTACCACTGCTGGCCCTTTATAAAATACATGATGATACAACTGGAATTTTCCATGAAAGTCTAACCATGTGTGTCCTATTTCTCCAGAAATTACTATATTTCACTGTAAACAATATACACAATCTTGGAAAAAGACTTAGAAGTCTTACGAAGACTATAAATATCTAATATACTCCAAGTTTCTTCAAAAAATGTGAAAGCAGCAATGACTATTTGAGAATATCAAATAACATAATCCATAGGACATAATATTCATTTAATCCTTCTAAATAACAATAACAAATTCTCAGAGTCTATGCATAAGGAAAAATAAGCTACCAATCACAATCACAATATACATGGAATTTATGACTAATTTGTGATCTGTGTTTAAGGTCCATATTGGTGGTATGTTTTCATTGTTTTCCAAGAACGGGTTGATAGACAAAAACCATCTTTTAGGAAATCATAAATCTCAAATTCTGTTTTCCTTTTTTAAAAGTTTTTACGTTTTTGCCATAGAATGCCATGTGCTTGCTGGAGAGAAACAGAGAGAGGGAATGCAAGAAATCACCCCTTACAGGGGGCACAGCCATGCCACAATTCCTCGTCCTCCATTCTCCTCTCAGGATTTTGGGCATGTATACACACGCACCCTATGTGATTTTCAAGCCATGGGGTCTGAGATTGAACCGTGTTTGGCCATGTGGGAGTCCATCACCTTAACCATTGTGCTACCTGCTAGTTCCTCATATTCATTTTTAACACTTGGTCAAGGCAATCATATTAGTCAATGCTGACATTCAAAACAGTCTATTATTATTATTTAGTTTGCTATAGAGTGTGTGTACTCTCCAGAGACAGAGAGAGATAGAGAGAGATAAAAAGAGAGG